TCACGTGCACAAATGTATTCTAGGAAAAAATAAAGAACACACAAGATGTCTTTATGTAAGGGTGTTCTCTAAATATCCAACAACAGGGAGTTGTTTAAATCAGCTATGGTATACCTAAGTAATGGAACAGGGGAAGCTTACATGATATGGTAGCTGTGTATTTGTTGAAATGGAAAATAGCTAAGTTGTTAAGTTGTAAAAGAGTTTCAAAAATAGTAAGCTTACATTTTTTTTTTTTTTGGTTAACCCATTATTTCAATCAATAAATATTACTAAGCAAGAAGAATGCATCAAAGATCAAGATAGATAGTTCCTTGGTCTTCTAAAGATTGCGTTTACCAGGGCGAGGTGGGGGGGGGGGCTGTCTGTGGGTTGGATAACAAAAAATAACTAAGTCGGTGAGACAATTATAGTATGAGAACTGCTATACAGGAGATTAGAGTAGGTGACATAGGGGGCCTGGGTGGCTCAGTTGGTTTGAGCATCTGACTCTTGATTTCGGTTCAGGTCATGATCCCGTGGTTGTGACATTGAGCCCTGAGTCGGGCTCCTGGCTCACAGCTCAGAACCTGCTTAAGATTCTCTCTCTCTCTCTCTCTCTCTCTCTCTCTCTCTCTCTCTCCCTCTGCCCCTCTCCCCTGCTCATGCACACTCTCTCCAAGATAAATAATAATAATAATAATAAAGTAGGTGACATAATAGAGATCTTTCTGAATTTTACACTGAGATCTGAATAACGAGAAGGAGGAAGCAATGAGAGTGTTCCAGACATAGAAAATAGCTCGTGCAAAGGTCTTAAGGCAAGATGGAGCTTTAGATGACATGTTTAGATATAGCCGGGACCTGTGGCTAAAGCAAAGTGAAAGAGAGGCAGAGTGGTAGGTGAGGCCAGAGAGGGGCTAGGGGCTGGATCATGTGGGGTTTGATAAACCAGGGTGAGGAGCTGGGATTTTATTCTATGTGCTATGGGAAGACACTGTAGGGCTCAAGCGGGAGGTATGATCTCATTAATGTCACTAAACGTCACTCTGGCCACCGTGTGAAAGAATGGATTTAAGAGCACAAAGAATGGAGGCAGAGACACCAGTCACTGGAGCCGCTGCAATCATCCAAGCCAGGCTTAAGGCAGGAGGTGGATGTGGAGAGAAATGGACGCAGTCAGGATTTATTTTGGAGCGAGTACCAACTGTATTTGCCAGTGGGTGGATGACTCCAAGGACTTCCCCCTCTTTCCTCCTGTTCCCCCTCGGATGCTCCCAGCTCTACACCCAGTCCTGTCCTGCCAAGGATCATCGTTACCTCCTGCCTTTGGCTTCTGTGGGGTTCCTTGCCCCATAAACAAAATCTCCCTTTCCTCAACCTACCTCAGGCTGGTCTTCACTTCTAGCAACCCTGACTGAGGCCATCGAACACCTGCTGGGTTCCAATCCTCCCGACAGCCCTTCAAGGACACTGCTTGTGTCCCCGGCACTGGACACAAGCAAAGCTCAGAGAGGTGAGGCAGCCTGCCCCTCTGCCGGCAAGGATTCAAACCCAGGTCTTCAGGGTCCAGGGCCAGCACATCCTCCTCTGTGCCACGCTGGATGACCAAGATGTACCCCGGTTGCTGGCTGACTACCAAATACCACTAGCTGTGCCCTGAAATCTCAGCTCCTCTGTTCCCCCAAAGGAGAACAATGGCTGCCGGCCGACATTAATTTCCCGGCCTCCCTTGCAGCTAGGTGTGGACGTGCTCCTTTCTCCAGTGAAATATTAGGGGAAATGACAATGCAAACAGAAACCTTGCTTCCTCCACCCGCTTTCCCCTCCCTGCAGGCAGCAAGCCAGGCTTGGCGGGAAGCCAGCTTCAATTATGCAGATCACAATAAGGCTTTGGGGGATTGTGGAACAATGACTTGGAAGGAAGCTGAAGCCCTTGAATGGCCACACAGAGCTGAGTCTGCCCCCAGCCTGCAAAGCCCACGTGAACCTTTCCATGAGACAGAAAGCATATAAGCTTTAATCTTTAAGTGATCCTACTGTCAGGTCTCTTTGTACAGCAGTCCTGCCTTACCTTAACTGATGCATCACCTCAACGTGATCTACATATTTTAAATACCAGCGACCTCTCTTGTTAAACAGTCATTGAGCCCCTCAATCAATACTTCTAGAAAATGCACAGATCCTTGAGTTTCCCCACTTCTGTCCATGGCTGAATTTCTCCAGTCTGTGCACTCAAGTCAATGCCTCATGCTCTCCGAAGAGTACCTTTCAAACCCAGTTTGAGTTGGAAACCAAAATTAATAAGACCTACATCGCCATGCACAAGAAACAAATTTTTTACATATTATTTATAAACAAATATTTGAAGTATTGTATTCTTTCTTAATAAATGCTCAACAATTGAAAGCAAAATTTAAAAGTCATGCATTCTAATATTAAATCTGCTAGAAAAAAGAGAGTTATTTTTTTTTTGTTTGTTTGTTTGTTTGTTTTGTTTTGTTTTGTTTTGAACTGGGCTCGTTCCAGAGAGTCCAGCTCTTGGGGGAACGCGGGATCTGGTCTTCAAATGTTAATGAATCATTTTACTTTTCAAAATTGTGGTGGGTTAGTCAGCGCGCAAGACAAAAACCCTGGTTGATCACGATGAGAATTTATTTATGTCAGCCAGTGAGTTTCTTCCCAAAGGGTCCAAATGGGGAAAGGACAGTAAGAAAAAGGGGGGCCACATGCTTAGTGGGAAATGTACCGGTTTGGGACTCGGATGGGTATGGATCCCAATCCTGACTCGACTCTGTGCTCATCAACTCATTTAACTTCTTTGAACCTCAGTTCCCTATAAAATATCAGTACTTATACCCACCTCATAGAGTGTCATGGGGACTAAGGAAGCATCCATAACACAGACAGAATGTTCTGGCAGGCTCGGCCCTCGGGAAACGACCGCAAAGCAAAACCCAAGCTCATCCTGCGTCGAGATGAGGAACTCAGCAAGCCTGGCCCCTTTGCCAAGTCGCCATGAAGGAACACGGCATGCCAGCTGGCCTCAAGGTTTCTAAATTGTCAAGGACGGGCTGCTGTGGGTGCTGTTGTGGGGCGGGCACATATGCTCACTGACCACATCCCAGCGTTGTCCTGCAGCTGTGGCTGCCCAAACCTTCCAAGTATCCTCGTGGCTAAACCAGCCAGCAAAGCACAGTCAGGGCCTCATGGAAAAGTCTGCTTTCCAGTCACCTTATTCTGCTGTCCAAAGTCATGAACAACAATGAGGGAAGGCCCCGTTTGCCTTCTACTCCTGAAGCTGACCATTCACTTTTTAACCAAAACAAGCAAAATCAAAACAAAACAAAAATCATGCATTTGCCTTCATTATGGTCCTCACCATTAGAAAACAAATGACTGGTGTCTGGGAAAGAGGCTAAAGAGAGACAATGGATTAATTAGGTCTTTTTTGTAATGGGCACAGGTACTGGGTTTTTAGCTTAAACAGATGTACACAATACCAAATATGGAAAAGCAAGTAATTTCCTCCGTATAGTTTTGAGGCTCCCCTCCCCCCATGCTGAGACCATGATGGTTGGTCTGATGGCCATCACCCCCACTCTTTTCAAGCTTCTCCTCATGACTCCCCAGCCTCTGCACTGAGCACCCACCGTCTCCAGCACCTCGATACCCCTCCATCTCCCGATGAAGGAGCCAGGTGTTCAATCAGCCACTGCTTCCATATGTGTTCTTAGCCCCTTGACTCATGCTCTCGATAACGTCATGCCAAGATTATTAGGGTCTTCTAGCTGGTCTCCACCTCCTGTCTCTCCAAACCATCTTCCATTGGCCTACCGAAAGTGCAGCTTCATTTACGTCATTCCCCCCACTCAATAACCTTCAACGTCTCCCTGTTGCTCATTCCGCAACCAAGATTTTCCACCATATGGCGCTAACCTGTCTTCTCAATCACATCTCTCCTCCAGCACCCACATGCCAACCAGACTTCATCACTCACTCCTTACTGAACTTGCCCACCTCTTGCCATCTCCATGCCTTTTTCATGTGATTCCTCTGCCTGGAGTCCTCAGCCTCCTTGCCATTCATTCACACCCCGAACTCAGAGCTAACCATCAGAGACCATCTCAAAGGATACGTCTTCCATAAGGACTTTCTCCATCCCTCCAACCTAACTTCTAAATCTCATGACATTGTATTTGCACTTTTCTTCTGTCTCTTGTTCCCCCTCTACCTTACAGTCAACTCCTAAACGCTTCTGAGCACCGTCTGGTTGGAAGGGAAGGCCGGGAGACTGGGCTTAAACCCCTACTTGAGAAAGCACTGGTTTTACTAGAAACCAGTAACTGGTTTACATGGGAAGGGAGAAGGTCAGACAGAGCGGCTCAGGCACAAACAACCCTCCCCCCCCCCCCCCCCCGCCATGCCACACAGCTACTGAAGCCTTCTTGGCCTTCTTTTCTTTCTCCCACTGGTCTGCAAGTGCCTTTTTTTTTTTTTAAGTTTATTTCTTTTGAGAGAGAGCGTGCATGCAAGCTGGGGAGGGGCAGAGAGAGAGGAAGAGAGAGAATCCCAAGCAGGCTCCACGCTGTCAGTGTGGAGCCCGACGCAAGGCTCAAACTCACGAACCATGATATCATGACCTGAGCGGAAGTCAAGAGTCCGCTGCTTAACCAACTGAGCCACCAGGCGCCCCTGGACTGCAAGCGGCTTACGGGTAGAGGCTGTGTTCCCTGAGGGGACACCTGCTGCAGGGTCGAGCACAGACACCAGCATCCTGACACCAAGAGGGTTGGGATCGTAAGAGCAGACACGCCCCTGGGACGCGTCCAGCCTGTGCAGCTTCTTCGGTGCAAAACAAGCAGGTCCCCAGCACCCAGTCCCTCCTGGCGTCTCACCGAGCCCAAGCGGGGGACAGTCTTTCCCTCTTCCTCTAACAGGCTTCTGTGAGAGCTTGTGTCCCGCTCCTCCTTGAAGCTGCCTTTTTCCTTCTGAACCTACCTTTACCCAGAAAAACATACCGGCGTGGCCCCCAATCCAAAGAGACAGCCCCCGATGCCAGCCCCGAGTGAAGGGTCCCGCCAATGCACTCCACGTTGTTTGGTCAGCTGGGAAGAAATCCTTCGTCACTTTCCCCAGGAATCCACCTTCTGAGGGTGTGCTCTCGGCCAGCAGGCGCCACCCTGTATTTGAAACAGCCAGAGACAGCAGATCAGCCCACACCCTGGTAGCACCGGTGGGTGTGGTGCCTCGTTCCACCAGCTGGAGCCCCAAGGGCTGGACTGATCACTGTGCCCTTCTCGGCAGGCTAACGCTCTCCCCATGGAGTAAGGGCTTCCAGAAGCAGCCTGAAGATACATCCAGCCACTGCACATATCCCTAACCTAAAAAAAAGAAAGAAAGAGAGAGAGAGACAGAGAGAGACAGAGAGAGAGGCCAAGAAAGGGTGGAAGCCACAGCTCTCCCGTTTGCCTACAAAAATGTGAGGCCAGGGCTCATGAGTTCAAGCCCCGAGTCAGGATACCTGTGCGGACAGCTCAGAACCTGGAGCCTGCTTCGGATTCTGTAACTGTTTTTCTCTGCCTCTCCCCTGCTCGCTCTCTCTCTCTCTCTCTCTCTCAAAACATAAACATGAAAAAAATAACAAAAATAAATGTGAGGCCAGATTTTAACCTCTCCCTTGGCAACTCTGCATATGGGACAAGAGAGGAGCTGATACAGACATCACTCTTGTACTGCATTCCATACTCACTTCCCCTACCCCTGTCTCTTAATGGCCTTACTTTTTTTTTTTTCTTTTTTTTTAACACTTGAGCCCAGGTTAGCCTGTTTCCTGTTCATATTTGCAAGGAATCCAGGCCCTCGGCAGTAAAGAAAGACAAGTATCCCCTGGAGCTTTATATTAGGAATGTTTCTAGAGTGTTGGTGGAAAGCATGTACATTTGTTAATTTGCACCCTAAACACACCCCATGGCCTCATTTAACTCTGAGTGCTCATGTGTGTCTTGTAACTACCTATGCATGGTTCCAACTTAATCAAGTACTTAATGAGCAGCATTAATATTCGTTGTCATCTCCATGGGAGCCTACACTCATCAAGGTAAATATCTGTGGGCTGTATCCACAGTCTGTGGTTGAACTAAGAATTGTCTGTCCTCATCCAGACAGCCAACTCTTTGTCCTCCAAGATGGGAAAACCCTGCTGGGTACTTTCCGAAGGTTTCTTTGTAAAAACGAGATACTTCCACTTACGGATCTTTTGCAGATGCCAAGCGATTTGGAAGAGCGGTAAGAAATCCATTATCTGGGTGGTAGTCATTCAGGGAATCTCGTGGCATGCCTCTTAAGTGCCGGACGCTGGGGGTGCGATGATGACCTACCCTCATGGTGCCTACAGTATGGTGGGAGACACCTACATTTACGGAAAGGTCACCCTAAGGAATAGGTGAGATCAGCGTTTGGCAGGAAACGCGTGGGGTGCTGGGGGAGCCATTCCCCAAAGGAGAGATATTGGAGCTGAGCTGAAAGATGAAACGTGGGGAGAAATTAGTTCTTCAACGGCTATTAGGGCCGGAGCACGCATTTGCACACAAGTGCGCACGCACACCCACATCGAGTACAACTCCTCTATTTATAGCAGGAGAAAGGGGGCCCAGCCAGAGCTAATTATAGAAACCGGCGATCCCAATATCTAATCCCTTCCTGCTAAATCACATGGATTTTATTTACATCCCAACCATAGATTATTTCAATACCTTTGGCCAATAAAACGCAGAATATTGAGTTAAAACCACATCCCTCAAGACCACAAGCATAAATAACGATCGTGTTTTAACGTGGATGGAACCTTTTCATTTTGCAAATCCAAGTTCTCATATCAAAATCCAAGGCAGTTTGTTTTCTGTACGAACGGGAAGGTCATAACCCTGTCTGAAACGCACTGGCAAAAATCTCTCTAACCGTGCAATGCTAATTTGGGCGTGAGCTGTGTGTTGAGGCTGACTTCATGGCCCAGCTGGGGTTTCAGATTCGCACATGGCGATTGGGTGGCTCTCTACCGTTGCACTGCAAGGGTCTCTCCCTGGACTCCGGAAGCCTCCGGAGATTTACCGCTGTTCTCGCCAGTGCGTGCCTGCGTTGCCGCAGGGTGAAACATCCTTTTGAAAAGCCCGTGAGAATCCACTTGCAGTCTGTGCGTTTGCCTGTAAGAGCGCAGGGCAGGGACTGGAAGGAAGCACAGAGGAGCCCACGCTGACCCGAGGTTACCCCTGGGGAGCTGCTGCAGTGGGGAGGGGATATATGACACGGCCTGTTTTTCACTCTAGATATGCCCGAGTGGTGTAAAACTGTACACAAGAACGTGTTTGTGCATTGCACATTGAATGCATATGTATGCATTTTTTAAAAGAAAAAGCTTAGCCTAACATCTCAATAGAACAAAGGTGCGTCTCCGCAGAGACAAGCGTTTCTTCTGGATGTGACGGTCTATTCCAGAAACCTCAGAGCAACTCCCCCGCTGACCGGCGCAGAGCTGAGGGTGGAAAACGTGCATTCCGCAGCATCCCCGAGGGAAATTCGGAAAGTTGGAGGCGCCTCGAGGGTCGCCGCACTTGCCGCCCGCGCCCCCCTTACCGGTGCATTCCCGCAAGCCTTGACTTTACCGCGTGCGCACCCCCCACCCACCCAGCGGGTGCGGGTGCCGCTGCCGGAGGGTGCGGCCGCTGCCGGGGCGGGGCCAGCCGAGCACGCGCCCCCACCTCCTCTCCCGCCCGCGCTCGCCCCCCGCCCGCGCCCGGGGCGCCCGGCCCGCCCCCTCCCCT